GTTTTGTTTTTGTGCGCCTGTACTCTAATAAAATGGAAAAGCTGAAAAAAGGGAAACCTATTTGTTAAATATGATATTTTCCTTCTAAGGGGCGGTTAACACTATGACATAAGCAGAAACTGAAGAAGTTTATTTTGTATGTGTGAACCGGGGAAAACAGAAGCAGACACAGAAGCAGATGAAAATGAAAACTTTTTCATGTTCTTCTGCTTCTGTTTCTGCTTATGTTAAAAGATTATGAGTGTGAACTGGGACATCATAAGCAGAAGAACATGCTTCTGTCAAGTGTGATCAAGCTTCTGCTTCGGTTTCTGCTTATGTTAAAAGATTATGAGTGTGAACCGGGACATCTTAAGCAGAAGAACATGCTTCTGTCAAGTGTGAACAAGCTTCTGTTTCGGTTTCTGCTTATGTCATAGTGTGAACCGGCCTTAAAAGGGCGCGCGTAACCCAAACTAAACGGTTGTACTAACCCAATAAAGTGCGCACTGTTTCTGACTAATCGGACAGCATGTCGGATTAAGCGACGTCATCCGTTCATAATATACCAAATATTAAATAAATTATATTAGTCAACTGTATAGCCTATAGGTTGCATTTGTACAAAAAAGGAATCATTTACTGGAAACTGGCTTATTTTAATTTTACTTAGTGTAAATTATTGACGATTGTATCTTATAAATAAACAGGTTCATATTTGTACTACCTCATTGCCTATGTTGATTTGAGGGAATTTGAGGGGATTTTTTTTATAGGAAGTTCTCAGGGTTACCCTTGTGGACTTGGCTTCAGCTTGTGACTAAGCTCCAGTCCCCCTCCCCTAGAGCCGCTTCGAAGGCTATAAGGAAGTGACAATTTTAGCGGCAATTCACTGATCTCTTCTTCACAAGTAGATTTTAACTAGACTCTACATTTTAGAATGAACCATCCCAGGCCAAGAAATGTTATAGCTTGTGCTTGTACCCGTTGGTACGCTTTCTCGACTAAAAGAGGTTTCTTCGATCTCTGAATTGGAGATCAAATACCGACGATCGAAGAAATAAGTTTTTTTGCTGACGCAATCAATTTTTTAAATGGTTAAAAGAAAGTGCTAACGAATCACCAAACCCGAGTATGTGAGGTGCAATGGCATCTAAACACATCTTGATTGTTACTTCCTACCTCATATTGATTATGACAGCATTCAGGTGACTATCCATTTTAATTTTGTTATTGCGTGTTATAATTGTTCTTTCTTCGAGAGAGTTAGATAGTGAGGTAGGTAGATAGGCTTATTAGAGATCATTTTTTCGATTATGCATCTCTTGTAATAGATGGAAATGTTTGTACATGTACAGGTAAGCTATGTAGATCTAATAGAGTCTTGACAATTATGTTACTTGACGTTTAGATATGTTGATGGAAGTCGTCTTAGTCACTGGAGTCATTTAAAAAAGCTGGTTGACAAAACGTCGTCAGGTAGGCTATAAAGGTCCGTTTACCATCGGCGTGAGTTTCGAACATGCTTGAAATTAAATTGATATAAGACTTGGATGTGTAATGGAAGTCTTATAATTTAGAGGAAAAACCTTACAGTTGTGGAAATAACTACTGATATTCATGCCTGATCTGTAGCAATAAACAAGGCCTTATTGAATTCCTTCGACTTCCCCTAATAAAAGTGAATCAATTATTGGTTATTTGAATGAATCAGGAGGGATATTTTCGATTTCGAACTCGAAAACATAATCCAGTACTCCCTGGATAACAAATTGAGTAACAGCAAAAACGCCAATTAATGAACAGCATTGTTTATTACTGAATTCTATTCATGATTGTTATATGATTGTGACTCGATTACTCTACATAAATGTTCACACAACATTTTTTGTTTACTTAGAAATTCTTTATTGGGTGTATTAGTAACTAACTTTGATTTCCTAAAGGCACTTTTAAAAATGTCATCGCTTTCAACTTTTCGAAGCATGAAATGTATGCAATTAGTATGCAAATCAAAGTTGTTTGATCCTCAGTAGCGCATGATTGTCATGGCGATTATTTACAGCCGTGAGCTTAGCCGATTCTTGCATTATGGCGTCATTTACTACAACTACCAGAATGCTTTGCCAACTTTCTTTTGTATGTAATTAGTGCCAATTGTTTTAAAAATCTGAATAACAATGAAAATGCGCAAGGCTCTCTGGTAGTTGTAGTAAAGTTACGCCATAATGCAAATTCCAAGGGAATTTAAAATCTGAATAACAATGAAAATGCGCAAGGCTCTCTGGTAGTTGTAGTAATAAGTTACTCCATAATGCAAATTCGGTGACTTTGGAGTGGAGGATAGCTTCTGTTGGTTGACTGACGTATTGTGTACCCTGATTTGCGTTTTTAGTTCTCGACGAGAAGTCGAGAAAAGATTGTTCGGTGACCAACCAAGTTCACGTTCTTTGTCGTTATGTATAACAGTCTCTTTCCCAGGTCCCCTGGGGTCGAACCAGGCTAACGATTAGAGGTTGGAGTAAGACTTCCATATATGGATGTCCATATGCATGGCTCTAATGTACCTATAGAAGGTTCTCATGTCCCTATAGGTGTTTCATTAATCATGTAATCAATCTTATGTTTATATTACGTGGTTATTCATCATGCCGTTGCATAAATATCACAAAAATTCAAGTTCACTCAAGCGAATTGGTCTCGTGGCTTAATGGTTAGGTTTAGGGAAAATATCGAGTTAGGCAATGCATAGCGCTGGTTCGAATATTCGTTCTTCAAAAATTTCTTTTCGGTTTAAGTTTAAGTCTTCGGAATTTTCTAAGTTCTTCTCCACATAATTGGGACATCAGAGTCTTCTACGAGGACATCAGCGCCTTCTATGTGCACATCATCACCGTAGATACACAACCATATATGGAAGTCGTACGACAGACCCTTCTCGAGTCAACTCCACGACAAAGAGCGTGAACTTGGTTGGTTACCGAACAATTGTTTCTCGACTTCTCGTTTTCATTTTATTTCAGGGAACAACTTGAAGCCTCATTTCACTACGATAAATGTAAATATAACAATAAAGGAAGACATTAAAGTCGGTAAGTTCACTGGGATCAAATGCTCTCTGGGTTTTAGTCCTGCGCCGAAGGGAAAAATATCATTGAGTGCACAAGTTTATATCAAGCGTGGGCTTAGTAAATCTTCCCAGTCAAAAAATACTCGTCATTTCTGTATCGTAACGTGAGTTATATTTTCTCGACGAAGTTTAATCTGCTGATTAAAACCACACCAGTGTCACCCAATCCTACACCCCTTTTTAGTTTTCATAGATGTAATTTTCATGTTGATTCTTTTGAAGAAGATTTTCTTCTGCTATACGTCGCGTAAGTTTAGGTCGAGTTAGGTCGAGATATATAGAATTCCCTGTGGTGAATGTAGCACTGAATACATTGGCGAGACAAGAAGGGCTTATAAGAACACGTAGAAAGGAACATGAAGCAGCTGTTAGATTGGGAAAAACAAACTCATAGGCTTTGGCTGAACCTGCTAGCAAAACAGGACACGCCATTGCCTGGAAGGAAACATACATCTTATGTAAAGAAAGTTCGTTGGTCACAGAGGAGATGGAGCAAGGCAATATAAATTGCAAAGAAGAGGAACATTTTATTGAATAGGGACAAGGGTCGGATCATCCCTCAAAACTATCTTTGTCTAATTAAAAATTAGTACCGCGCGCGCTAGATCTTCTCGGAGAGAGCGCTCATTGTTTTCATGTTGTTTTGTAAAATGTGACGTTTCATTCAGTCTTGATAATGGCCCAGTGAGCCGAAAGCTCAACTAAGTAAATAAACTTTTATGTTGAAGTTACGTTTAAATCACCCATTATGAAAAAAACAGCCTACAACAATCTATTTGATTAAATTATACTTGGAAAATAGGCCAGAACATTTATCTGTATCCATCCTCTTTAGCTTGCAAAGACGATACACCTCATCTGATGAGGGACCTGAATGATTTATTTCAGGCTCCGTGGTATTCGTTTTAAATGCAACTGACAACGAGAACGATACCCTTACCTTCAGTTTAGACTCAACGGGTCAAAGTTTATTCAACGTTGGACCTTTAAATGCCGATACAAAGTCAGTAAATCTAACTCTGAAAACAGCACTAAACAGAGAGGTGTGTATTATCTGCTCTGCTCTGCTCTGCTCTGCTCTGCTCTGCTCTGCTCTGCTCTGCTCTGCTCTGCTCTGCTCTGCTCTGCTCTGCTCTGCTCTGCTCTGCTCTGCTCTGCTCTGCTCACTAATGTTTCTTTATTTTTGGTTCTTCAGCTTAATACAAGATATGAGTTTAAGGCTTTTGTAAGCGACAATCCAAGCGATATAACAAGACGAGTAAGTCATAATTGTGCAACCATCGCTAAAACATGGCGTAGTTGTCAATATGTCGATGATAACAATGATGATGATCATTACTGTCACAATCATATCTCATCATTTTAATCATTATTTGTAATCTTCTTCAGAGAGAGAAAACATTTTTTGTCACTGTAATCGATGTCAATGACAACAAACCAGTCTTTTCAAAGCAATCTTATAGGGTTTCCGTGCCGGAAGTAAGTAAAGAGATTCCACAGACTTCTTGCTAGCACTAGGAAAATCATTACGAAATCCGCCTGTCCATTACTTCCCTGCTGTACTTCGTTGATAAGAAACTATCGTCGTATTAATAGTTTTTGATCACTTTTCTTCAGAATTGATAGAGGAATTTTTGGTCCATTCATGTGTAAATGCAAATTTCGAACAAAAAAAAAAAAAAGAAAAGTAAGAGCTGACTACAACAACATCAACAAAAACAACGATAATTATTATTTGTTAGTGAAGTGAGTTTTAGTCATAATCAACCCGAGATTTGAAGTGACGACAAAGAGTGGCCGTCTCTTTGAATGGAGCGTGTAATACAATTTATCATATAATTATCTATGAAATACCTGTATTTCTCCATTTCGTAAAATTGATATTTTCACTAGTGAAAATAACATGTTATTTTCACACTCTAGTGAAAATAACACATTCGAGGTTTCTCTATATAATGCAAGTAAGAAAAAAGGTATTTTACGACATAATTTGCTTTCGTATGAAATTATATGATAATTAAATAGAATATTACATGTTCGCTTGGGGATACGAATTTTATCTTCTCGTGTTGAAAATCTCTTTTCGACACTCGAAGATAAAATCCGTATCTCCGCGCGTCCATGTAATATCCTCGATTTCTCCTTCAAGACAATTAATCCCAGATCTATTTGTCATTATCACCAGAACGCCACATTAAATACTTTACTATTGACCGTGTCTGCCACTGATGCTGATGAAGGCACTAATGGTGATGTGAAGTATAGATTTAGCAACGACTCACGCTCGGTAGGTACTGTACTATCTTTATTTGCTCAGCTGGGTTCGTAACTCTCTTTGCTGGACTATGCGTATCATTTTATATGATGCTAAGAAATTCTTCAGTCTACTTGTTATGTGAACACAAAATTAGACATCATTGGTTTTGAGCAGATTTTTCGAACTTTAGCTATGTTTTATCCTTATTGTGCAGGTTGACAAATTTGAGATCCACTCAAATGGGACAATAACTTTAAAAGGAGCTTTAGACTATGAGAAAGAATCATCATATGAACTGACTGTTGTTGCAGAGGTAAGTAAGAGAAGAATTTTTTTTAATATACAACTCAGAAGTTGTAGTTCAATGTTAATATTGCCATGCCGTTTTGGGAATAGCAAACATGCCACGTTTTGGAGTAGTCGTGCATTAGCAATGAAATGACGCGATGATGTGGACCACAATTGACCCCTTTTCACAGTGCAAGGATTCATCTCTAGTAGTTTTTCTATAGTGTTTTTCCTTCGTAAAAAGTCTCAGAATCGCTCTCTTAAAACAACTGCGACGAATGATTTGGCCATTTTGATTTTAACAATTGGCTGAGAGAGACCAGACATGCATATGTCTATATCTATGATATCAGCGAGTAGCAAATATCTGTAACTAGTTTAAGTAGTTTGCTAAACATTTAATCAATCCATTTTTTTGTATTTCGAGTCATCCCAAAAATGCTAACGTTGTTTTCTTGAGCTTTAAAAATTGCTAATAATCATAAGTCAGGGGCGGATCCAGGGGAGGTTCTTTGGGTGCGAACGCACCCCCTTTTTTGAAGACGTATTTTTTAATATATATAAACGTTTTCTGCTGTTTATACTCCTGTTGTACTTTAATCGAGAAAACGAGTAGTATATACAACATGTGTCTGCCACTATGCTGCATAACAATCTATTTGAGTAGTGTAGTCAAAGATAAGTTTCAATAAAAGTCAATTTGCTTCTGGTCAAATTGTGCATTTTTTTTTTTTGCTCTAGACAATAATGATCAGTTCCATATATTACTGAAGAAAGTACCCCTCCCCCTCCCCCTTCTAACATGCTGGATCCGGCCTTGTAAATTTACACAACTAGTGGTTTGAACTTAGATGTTTCATGCTATTTCTCATGCATTTGATTTTATATTTCTAATTATTTAACAGGATGGTGGTGTTCCTCAACAAAGAAAGACATGCACAGTTGTCATAGATGTTATCGATATAAGCGACATGCCGCCAGTGTTTTATAGGTCAATATACATCGCAATGATAAAAGAGAATTCTCCAAAGGTAAGAACTAAAGAGAGATCGAGAAAATGCTGAAAATAGACAGATATGGCAGAAGAAAATGAAAAGAAGAACAAGGAGAGGTAGAGAAGAACAAGAAGAGATGAAGAAGAACAAGAAGAAAAAAACAACAACAAGTCGGGAAATCTGTTAAACAATGTTGGTATATTTTGATAAATTATCTTTCTTTTACTTCCCATAGGGTACTTCATTGGTTAAGGTTACTGCAAAAGATGGCGATATAGAGGTAAACAATGCCATGAAATACGAAATAACTGGAGGTATGATGATATTTTTTTACTGATTTTCCTCCTAAATCGTTTTGTGCCGCATTTTGTACCCTGGGTAGTTATAAACTAAGTGCACACAAGATTTGAAAACCTATGAATTAATAGCTACTTTACAATTAATTATGAATTGAATACCTATATTTCTCACTTTTCTAAACACTGATCTCATTACCATTACCACATTCTTATGGTATCTCTATATATTGAAAGTTGATAAAAATTATATTTAACATAATTTGCTTTCTTGATAGTTGATTATATCTGAAACAGAATATGAAGATTACATGCTGCTTAGAGATACGAATTTTATAAAATCCTCTATACGTTCAATTCTCTAGGTAATTCCGGTGGATCGTTTACGATCAATCCAGACACTGGGCTCATAACAGTTAATGGGAGTATTGACGCTGAGAGAATCAAAAGCTACACACTTACTGTTCGGGTAAATTTCAAATCTCATATATGAATAGACAGCATGCCCAGCGACGCCATTTTGCGTAACTAAGCATGATTGGAAAGGTGATTTAGTCCTTGAATCTGAAATGAAATCACACAGTTTATTTTTGTAGTAAAAGAACTAGTATTCTTGGCTGGAAAAGGAATCGACCGTGTAGAACTAATTCAGATGACATTATAGAGTGCGATGGTTTACTTTCCATCATTTTTGGCAAAATAACATACCTTTTACGCAAAATGGCATAGCTGTGCATTTTGTTGAGCGTGTCTGTTTTTCTTATTCATGCACCTCTCTATACCCTCTTTCTATTAGGGACTGTGCAATAATTACCAGGACGGGGGGAGGGCGTAAAAATAGATTTCTCAAGCAGAAAATTACCTAGAACCCCCTATACCTTACCCTCCCTGCTATACTAGAAATAACGTCGAACCCCC